TGGCAAGTTTTTCTGCAAAAGCAGCTGCCTTTGGGGAAAAACTTGCCAGTCTAGACACAGCCTATGTGTATGGGAAATGTCAAGTAACCTTACGTCTATGATTAGCACCAGCTCTGCCAATAATAAACAACTTTAAGTCATAGATTATATTGTCTATACAAACAATGTTTTAGATAATTATTGGTACGTTGATTTAAAACCATCTAAAGAAATAAGCATTGATCCCCACTGTGGGCAACTGCTCTTCTGCAATATGCTTTGTTAATTGCTGCCTTTTATTGTTTTAAAAAGATGCTGTTTCTTCTAGTGAAAAGCTGTGAAATTTGAAACCAACTAACTTTCATTAAAAAAACATTCAAAACTTCAGATATACTTGCTTTTGTATGAGAGATTTCAGGTGTTCTGCTGCCTCACCTATGTCCTGAATGTCTGTGCTGTGTGTGAGATTAGCACTAAACTTTCTTGTAAAAATAGCCTATAACTATAATAAACAATAACAGCTGCCTATGTAAACACTGGGATGACTGTATTATCGGTCAATTTCTCTGAAATTCCATTTATAAATTTCATATACTTAAAACCAGCACTTGTAAAATCAAAACAAACAAACAAACAAAAACCCTACTCTACCCCAAAAGGGGTGGTGGAAACAGCATTTTCGGGTAGTCTCTGGGGAAAAATATCCAGTTAGTATGCACAAATGCAGGCTTTGCATGCACAAATGGTTAAAGTATAAGACTATTGAGGCCTGTTTGAAATTATGGCTCACACCTCTCAGCCATTCTCTTTTGCCCATCATTTCACCAGATGTACTGTAATTCTTAGTATGCTGGGTGTTTACTCCTGGCCATTAGGTCCTAGAGTGGGAGCTTCTCTGAACTGTTTTATTCTTCAAAGTGTCTAAAAATGGCTTTCTGGAGAGTGGATACTTTGTTGCCAAAAGCTTTCCATTTCTGTTCTGCTTCCTGAACTCTATGCATGGACTTCTTGAATGCAAGCTCATATCCATCAAACACAGTATGCAGTCTTGCCAGGCTTAGGTACAAACTGGACAACAGAACTTGGGTAGCTGTGTGCATGCACACATCCAAATATTTAGGTACCTAGAAGAGTTTACCTATGGAAACGTAGATATCTAAAGGCTTTAGATGTCTGCAGGGTTATGGGGCATCTGAGTGAGGGTATGAGGTCTAAAGTTCAGCTCTTAAATAAATCCCTCTTTGGAACCAGCCCGCCTGTCAATTAAAATTAGTGGGAGCCAGGTATTTAATTCCAATTTGTGCCATTGAATGCTTTTCCCCAAAATCACCCTGAAGTAGGGTGAATAAATATAGCACAACTTCTCAGGGCATTTGACATGTGAAATAGCTCTTCTGATGAGGCTGCTGCATGGTATTTAATCTTGTTTTGGGATAACACTTTTGATGTGCACCAGATGGGAAGCGGCAGCTAATAAGATCACTGAGAGCGCCACATGGGCCTTCTTTATATCTCTATTTTCAGCTCTGACTACAACCATCTCACAAACTTTATCTGCAGTTTATTTCAGTCCTTATTCCTGACACAAATATGTTGGGTTCATCTCACAGAGGTTACAGGATCCCCTAAGCTCTCAAGATAGCCAGAAACCTGCTTGTAGAGTTCACATGATTCATAATTAAAGTGCTGTCTGTGGGGCTGCCAAAAGCAACAGAGGGCTTGACAATCTTCAGTAGAGCTCAATCCTTGTTTTTTTTCAGAGGGCTTTTTTAACAAACTGTCATCACAGTCACTTTTCTTACTCTGCCCCTTTGTTGTGACATAAAATTGGAATCAATCGACTGAATGTTCTTGTTTTGAAAGATTTAATTGATATTTCTCAAGGAGTGAGAAAATCAAGACCATTGGGAAAATGCAGTAGAATGTGTGAAGAGAAATGTAAAAGGGTGAAATATTTAGAGATTAAGTGAAAAAACAATTAGTGTCTTAAGGTCTTGACCCTTTTATAAAACAATACATTACTCAAACAATTTTACTTATAAAACTGTTTAAATTATCCCTGTAGACTAATTGCATTTAGTTGCTTTTTTTCCTATTTGAACTTTACTCTGAATTTGGCAGTTCACCTCTTTCCTGCTTTCTTCTTTTGTTTACCTCGCCAGTATATTTAGCCTGGGACTACACTACAGAGGTAGGCTGACGTAAGGCAGCTTACATGGAGCTAACTCTGTAAGGGTAAGTCTACACAGAAGCTTTATTTCAGAATAACTGACGTAATTCCGAAATAACAAACAGCATGTCTACACAGCAAGCTATTATTTTGAAATAATGGTGAGCTGGCGGACTTCTCACTCTGATTCCTGTAACCCTAATTTTACAAGGAGTAAGGGAAGTCGAGGTTCAAGTGTTCGTCCTTCCACTTCCTGCTGCGTAGACAGCTCCAAAAGCCGAAGTAAGCTATTTTGACTTCAGTTACACAGTTGACGTAGCTGAAGTTGCGTAGTTTAATTCAACTTTTGCCCTGCTGTGTAGACGTGCCCTAAGTATCCACACTAAAATGCATCCCCTACTGATGTAACTTGCCCACTACATCAACTTAATAACCCCACTTCCATGAAAGGCATAAGTTGCGTAGCTAGGTTGACGCTGTGTCCATGTAGACACTGCTTTGCTTACATTGACTGCTGCTGCCTTTCAGATGCCACCCCACAATGCCTCACACTGACAGTTAAATCACTCTTGGTGAGGCTGTGGATCACTGACATAAGGAGCGCAGTGTGGACAGGCAAAAGTGATTTAATTACTGTGGGGGTTATAAGTAGAGCTCTGCAAATCCAGGAATATCTGCTTTGTGTCCACAGATATCTGCATCTGTGAATGTGGATGTGCAGGCAAAATGTTTTTTCACTTATCTGTGCTGAGCTCTGCTCTGCTTAAGTCCATGTGACTTAGATTAACAATTCTATAGAGTAGACATACTCTTAGATGACAGAGGGATTTTTCTGTTAACGTATAGACAGGATTCAGCATAATATACCTGTGTCTTTCAGAGCCCGTTGGAATTATAGCTCTACAACAGACTAAGGCTATGTCTACAATACAGACTTCACAGCCCCACAGCAGTACTACTGCAGCCTCCCATGTAGCTGCTCTATGCTGATAGCACAGAGCTCTCCTGCCGGTATAGTTAAACCACCCACACTGAAGAGCAGTACAGGCAGTCCCCGGGTTACGTACAAGATAGGGACTGTAGGTTGGTTCTTAAGTTGAATCTGTATGTAAGTCGGAACTGGTACAATACAGACTTCACAGCCCCACAGCAGTACTACTGCAGCCTCCCATGTAGCTGCTCTATGCTGATAGCACAGAGCTCTCCTGCCGGTATAGTTAAACCACCCACACTGAAGAGCAGTACAGGCAGTCCCCGGGTTACGTACAAGATAGGGACTGTAGGTTGGTTCTTAAGTTGAATCTGTATGTAAGTCGGAACTGGCATCCAGATTCAGCCGCT